TTCTTCTGTGGTTAGTGTTATGGTATCATTTATAATTCACTTACTGTTATATTTTTTTTTCTGTAGAGAAGAATATGCTAAAAAAATCTAGTAAGCATAGAATAGAAAACCAATTTGAATGACATCAGTAATGTAGTAAAACGAGAATGATGGCAGGCTGCTGTAGGAGAATGTTTATACTGGAGTTATTCCACTTCTTATGAATACCTGAATGTCATTTCTGTTAAAATACAATTTCCTTTGGGCTGAGTTTTTTGGTTGTTTTGGGTTTGTTTTTTTTTTTTCTTTACTATTGAAGTTAAAAATAAATTTACTGAAAAGCTTATTTTCAGTTTTGCGCCAAGTTAACTTTTATTCTCAGAATTCAGACTATCACTGGCTAGCTTAAATATCTGTGACCAGAATTACTTGAACAGAAGCTGATTTTATACACTTTTTTATGGTGACGTTTTCCTTTTAATCACATTTTATTGTGTTACACATAAAAATTACTCTGATTTAAAGTATTTGCTATTACTTCCCTTAAAAGCACAGTTATTGGAAGAGCAGATGATAGCTACTATGACATAATAAGCTATTCTGGGATGTAGTCAGGGACTTTGCCACTTTTTTTTAAGATTTATAGGGCTAGAAATAGAGTATCAAAAAGAAGCTTAACACTAGTTCTGTTAGGATAGAACCGTAGGAACGAAGTAGAGTGAGAAAGTTGTGTTCCCAGTCATGTTCTATGTGTTTTGTCTAGCAGCTGTTCAATACAAAAGTAGTCTCTGTAGTAAAGATCAGAATAATGGTCTTCCCCATGCTGATGAATGCTTCAGTGGTTAGCTACAGGTGAGCTTCCGTCTGTACTTGCTTGTCGTTACTTTTCTCTGACCCAGTGAACCTTGTTACACAACATGATGATTCAGAAGAGTGCTGCATCCCAGCCTAACCTCTAGCTCAGGGCTTAGAAGTGTTTCTTGAAAGGTGGAAGGTAAGAGTTTGAATGCTTTTTAGGTTGAGAAATGTTATTAGCTAACATCCCTTTTTAGACAACCAAATACACACTTGCTAGATTCTACTGAAGCTGCACAACTGCTGCATAGCATTTTTTGAAGGAAAGGTATGAGCTAAATGGTTGATTTAGGAACCGTATGGAAGAGGATAAATTACTAGAATACCTGGTTTCACAAACATTGGATTTGTCTTCAAAAAAACCAGTGAAATATCATCACACCTGTTTTACAGAGAGGAATTGGGACATAGAGAGATTTAAGCCAAAAATGAATGTGCTTCTCCCCAAATTAAACTGAGAACCTGGAATAGAAAATTAATTTTTATTGGGTAAGTTTGGCAAAATTCTGTAAGCCACTAGATTATGATGGAGAATTTTTTAGTTTCACTAATGATCTCTCGCTGTGATACGTTCTCTTGGTTAAAACATGGAGCCACACTTCTTGGCTTAGAAATTATTGGAAAGCATTGTAGATCTGTGATTCAGAGCATTTTGTGGTCTTGACTCTTGCTGTCCTTGACTTTGCCTCTTCTTTGTGCCTATTTCCATGAAAGGGAGGGAGGAGAGTAGTCTTGAAGAGGAAAAGTGACCGTAAGGCAGTTTGGGGTCAGAAAGAGAAAAGAAGGGGAAAAGTATAGGAAAGTATAGTCCTGTCTGCTGCCTATACCTCTCTGCCAAAGACTGGTCTTCGTATCTGCAGAAGAATTGATGCAGGCATCCAAAAACTTGCAATTGCAGAGTAATTAGCTTGTGAAGGGAAATAACTGCTTGCAATAGGAGTTTCGTAAATCTATTTTACTAGTTCCCAGTTTGTCAGTTGTGTGGAGTCCAGAGGACTTTATGCTATGTACCAAACACCTGAATTTTAGAGTTGATTTTATTCTCTCTGGTGTTTTCCTCATTCAGTTCTCTTCTGTTTAAGTTCTAACAAAGTTCTGTAGCATGTTAAGACACATGTCATATTTGTCTTGTTTGGTCATTCCCACAGTTCCAAAGGGGATGGTCATGTGTCATGGTCACGAGGAACAGGATTTGAATCTTTCATGACACAAACACCTAAAAAGTGTCATGACATTGCTGAGAATAGCGATATTATTGAACCATTTTGACAAGATGTCCACAGGATTTTGGGGGGCTGTTTGGTAAGGGTGACTTCTCCCTGTTTTCACAAATACTCTTTCTTCAGTCAGATGCAGAGGAGCATCCTGTTCTGGAGACTGCAACGCAGCTTGTAATGCTTCATGCTCTCCTCTCACTCAGTGTACTCTTTTCCTTTCTGGAGTCTCCCTGGATTATGGACTTCTACAGCATCTTGTCTCTCATTTTCTTGAGACTTGCAGATTCCCATTACTTATGTGAGCATGACCACTGTAGTCTGCTCTGGCGCTGTGGTGGTGGTAGTGAAGTACAACCTGAGTACAGTCTCTACACCTCATCCTTGCTGGAGTAAAAAGGTCATTGCTAGCCCTCTCTGTTGTCAGAAGGAAGTCCTGTGAGAAGTCTGGACAGCAGGGCCAGGTGATATACAATGTAACAAAGCTTGGCTATAAAGAAGAGAGCACAATGTTACAGGTACTGAGATAACACACAGGTGTCAGCACATGATAACTTTGATACCAGTTGAGTCATGGTATAGAATCATCAGAGTGAGGAATGCAGAGCCTGTAGGAGGAGAAAGATGGATGCAGCCCTATAAAATAAGGGAAATTTTAAATGGTACTATTATGTTAGAACTCTGAAACCTCTGTTTAAGCCTAATTGCTTGGCAATATTGTAATCTGTTTAGGATGTGAAGTAAATAACCAACACTACCTCTTAATATTTTTAAGTCAATAAAAAGGAATCTTATGACTAACTGGAGGTATTCACAAGTAGCAATTGTGGTGTTTCTGTATGGAAACAGCAAGAACTTAAATAGTTCTGTGTATAGACTGAATTTACTAATATATGGTCTTCTACTTTCCCTCAGAGAAAATAATTTCATCTCTACAGACACATCAAAGTGCTTTCTTTTGTGTCATTATATCACTTTTATCTTGTTTGGGTTCCCCTTACCTATCTGTTCCCTTGTGATCATGTCCCAAGTAGTATAAGTCACAGTAGCTGTGGTATGGCCATATGTTTTAAAACAAAGAAACAAAAATGCAGCTTTTATGTTACTGGAAATCAAATACTCTTTATTATGACCAGTTTCCTGAGATATTTAAAAAGTCGCAAGGAGGGTCTTACTTTTTAAGGCAGAATTTCCAATTAACAAGTGTTTGCTGTATCCTTTTAAGAAGGACACAATGATTTTAACACATTACGGGAAATTCTGCTGCTTTCCCAGTTAGTATAGCAGTATTGGTGTGGAATGCTACAAAAGATCCAGAGGTTAAAAATGGATACCTACATTTCTGTCTGTTTTTAGGTACTCCATTTATGCCAGTAATTCCATATCGTGGACTGAATCCAGAATATGTGAGGTATATAAATTGGATGCAATTAAGTAGATTTACAGTTGGCCTTTTGGTTTGCCTCTTAGTGCATATGGTCATGAATGGAATATTTGACACTGAGGACTATCCAGTGTTTCTTCAGTGCTGATTTGGAGTAGAGAATCCTTGGAGTTGGCTGATAAGATTTGTTTTCTGAGTGAGGCATTAAGTGTTTTTCAGGACCTGTATTGGTCCATGAATCTTTTCATAAATTGGGTAGACTGTCAGTTGAGTCCACAAATTTTTGGGACATACATTTATAGCAGTTTGCCATCTGCTAGGGGAAGCTCAGCTGCCTTGGGTCTGAATGATTAAACTCATTTTAGGGTATTATCAACAAAAAACTTAAGACGCATCACAGAGTAATACATTGTTGTAATAGTGCCTATGCACAGTTTGGTTTAGTTTATGTTAGGCTGTGCTCTGAATTCCATGTTCATAGTCTTAACTGCAGAGATTTAGTAAAGACAATGGAACATTTCAAATTTTTATTGAAACTATAAAGTTTGGATTATCGTCTTGGACTATTTTTTTGCATGCTTTACAATTTATTCTTTCAATTACACATTTTATTTATGATGTACCAAATAAGTCTGCATATTTTCTGTTATGTGTTTTTTCTGATATGCCTTGTGTATGCATGCTGTCTCACCATATCCTGCAAATAATTGATATTTTTGCTAGGTAAAGCATAGTTTAAACCAATCCTGTAGTGCCTGCACGTGACTCTCACAAGTGTTTCTTATGTTGAGGACCTATACTATAGGATCTATTTTAAAACATTTTCTGTTTTATTTATGTAAGATAATGCTAATATCAGTATGTCTCTGGCTTTCACTGAATTTTGGATGGATTTCTTAATGCAGTTTTGCATTGGCACTTTTTCGTTATTTAAGGCTATACCAATAAGAATATAATTATTTTGCTACTAAATTTAATTTACTCCTTTGAAAGCACTTTCCCCTTTTTCCTTTGAAAAGGAAAGGCGGGCAGTATGGTTTTTTGCATTGATGATACCCACATCACTTGTAATATTATTGATTTGTTATTGAATTCTATGCTGTTCAATTAAAACCTGCAAAAACCTATGCAGAAAATGAGAATTTTTATTTAATGTAGTGACAAACATAAGAGTTTTAAAATTTAGAAACCAAGGTTTTAGATTCTACATATTTCTACTTAAAAGAAAGGATTTAAATTCTGAAAACCACCTTTAAAAATGCAACTTAAAAGGGTAATTTTTTTACCTGCCTACTTAATATATATCTAATGTTTAGTTATTTAAGGGGAAAAGATTGCATTACTCTTTCTAATTTTTTTCATTTGAGTTAACTTAAGTATTTGCTAAATTATCCTGAATTATAGAAATAAATTCTAAGATGTTAATGACTTTCATATCAGTTTAGCTATTATGAAAATTTTCTAACTTCTCTATAGGCTGAAACCTTAGTCCTCCTATACTGTAACTTAGTGCTTCTAGAATGTGATATAGTTCTTGAAAGTGAAAATATAATCTCATTGGTTTTTAGGCTTACATATATGAAATGCGTTCAAGCACTTTTTCACATAAACTGGGGGGACACACAGAATCTGTCATCAATGTGACTTTTAGTCCCTCATCTCCACAGGTAAGTCATTGCTTTTTTTCCTCTTTGTAATTAAAATTTGTAAAATCTTTACTGTAAGCTTGCTTTTTGCTACTCTTCTGCCAATATGCTATGCAGCTGTAAGGCTGTTCATCTACTTCCAACTATAGTGTGGTTATTGGGTCAATTATAAACTCATGCAAAAAGTGCTGCAAGCTACAGAGACAAATGCTCTGACTAACTGCCTACAAAGAAGAATTCTGGCATGAGAACAATTGCAAACCTGTACCTGTTGAATGTTGGGAAAATGTACATTCACCTCAAATTACCTGAGTAGACTACTCCTAATTCAGAGAATTTGAGAGAAATAAGTACGAGCAGAGAAATGGCAAGGGGTTCAGGCCTGCCATAATTACTCAAAGGCCTGAAAGATTTAAAAAGCAATGTTATTTTAAATGTGTTGTGCCAGAATAAGTAGTGAAATAGCTTTATCACAATGTTTTGAAGAACTATTACTGTTGTGTTTTGAGTATTTCAGATATCTGTAGGCAAAAAGTACTCTGAAGAATTTAGGCATTAGGCAGTGACAGTTCCTGTTTTTTTACTGATCATTAATACTACGCTGTGTTAACAGGCTTATAGTTCTATGTAATGGTTTAATTATAATGCAGCAATATATATACAGGAGTCTGTTTTCTAAGTTTTATGTTGAAACAGAGCTTCCCTACAGCTAGTTTAGCACGTGAATTCTTTGTATACCATTTTGAATCCTATAGACTTGCCTTCTTTGTTTTTATGTATTGAAACTGCATTGAAGCATTCTACTTCCTGTACTTCTCCTTACTTTAAAGAGACAACAGTGGTCACTGTAGATATAAAAGTGTGCAGTAGCTCCTCTTTACTTCACTACCTTCTCAACACTGGCTGTACTTGCTACTACTAAAAAATATTTATGGAGTAAGTATAATTTCTTTATATGTGGGAGTATTGCCATATTTACATGTCTCCTTCCATTTGTAAATTAAGATGCTAGCATTTCTATGATTTTAGAACTTCTGGAAGTTTTATTCCTTGTGTATATGTTGTTTGAGCTGAGAAATTGTTAATTGTTGTCTTGTGGTGAACATTACATATTTCTGCTCTTTGGATTCAGCAATGCTATATTCAACCAAATGGTATAGTTTATTTAATTTTGCATCCAGATTAAGACTAGTTTCAGGTTTAGCACTGAACACAGTTCTGCAAAAAAGATGTTATAAACTGAAGAATAAAGCTGACTGTAGTCTTACAGCATCCTGATCTGTGGTCCAGCTGTTGGAATGCATTTTGGTGGAAAATGCCTTCTTGGAGTTTAACTGTTAAAAGTCTAGAAGCTCAGCTGCAATAATAGTATGAATCAAGACTTTGAAGTAACTAAGTTCAGGCAAATCAGTTGTTGATCAGGGGGGCAAAATCCATAAATGATCCAAGCCGGACTGGTCTATACTCTGACAGTGTGCCTTGGGGCACAAAGCCTTTAATACTGAACTTTGTGGAACATCACGCAGTTGACTTAGTATTACGGTTAAGAGACAAATCTGAAGTTCAAGGACCAGAAACCCTTTTCTTGAAGTCCTCTTTCCTGAGAAGCAAGAGCTGTGGATTTGAACCAGCTTACAAATTTCCTCATAGATATGGTTCTGGGGGAAGATTTTGAAACTGATGTTATCAGGAACATATTACTAAAAGCAAGGAATGTGCAAAAACTGATCCTCTGAAGGATTGCAGCTGCAACGTAAATTCTGTTAAGCTAGTCATTCTGTAAAATAAGCACTCCAAAATGCTTTCTAAATAAGTATTTTTGGGGGGAGTTGCAGAACCAAAAAGAAATAATCACCTTGGCTTTCCAATGTAGGATTTAGCATGAAGTTCTATTCAAAGGCACTAGGAGAAGAAGCTAAGAAATGCATTGGTAAGCTTGTAGAGTAGAAAAGAAGAAACCCACAAATGAATCAGAAAATAATCCCATGCCTTGAAAGAAAGACATTGTATTAGGCAACCAGAGTTTCCAACACTGGAAGATTTTTATACTTACCCCTACCACTAGTTAGGGATTTAAAATTGATGCTATTCTTGCTTCATCCAAATTTTGAATGAATACAGTTAAGAATTATATTGGGTTCTGAATAACTTTGCACAAAGCCCCATTGCATTCAAAGGCAAACACTGGCAGGGGAAGGAGTAAGGGGTGAAAAAAGGGAAGTGGCTGATGAGTGAAATTCAAACATTATGGCTAAGCTTTCTGGCGTGGAAAGATCCAGCCAAGAGTGAGGTGTATTGGCAGCACTCCAGTTCAGTGGTTGCTTGCCCAGCACCTGTCCATGAGGTAGTTTGTTCCAACCATTATTATAACTCTCACTTGCATAAATGTTCTTCCAGAAAAGAGGGGAAAACCCTGGATGGGTATAATAGTGATTTTTCTTACTGATGAGGAGCAGTGTTGCTTTCATCATATGGTACTCTGGAATGATGTATAAAATGGTTGCTATGAAAGCTGGAGAAGGGGAACAAGATAGAAGCTTTGCGTTTATCTTAGGTTTATTTTCAAGATGATTTCTCAGTTTTAGCTTCTCATTGTTGCTTCCTGGTATTCACTCATTGTTCAAAACTTATGTAGGGAAAAGTGTTTTTCTTACCAAAAATATTAATTGAATTTAAATCTATTTAAAGGAATATGCGTTAAAGGATATTATAGTGTTTAACTGTAATAACTATAACTATTAACAATAACACATTTGAGTCAATCTAAGTTAAAATAGGATGGGAGTCTCATCTTCCAAATATGGTAACAATAAATAATGTCTCTTTGAAATGTTTTTGAAGAAGGATAAAAGCTAATGTGGACACTGTTGTCATCTGCTGGGTTTTGGTGGCTTTTGTGTAGTTGAGTGTTGGTTTCATCTTTGTACAAGCTGGGTGAACACTGTGTGGCAAAACCATCCAAGTACACTCTAGCATACTATTGTTCTCGTTGGTGGTTGCTTAAAAAAAGCAGAGAAGAAGAAAAGAAGCTCCAAGCTCTGAGCCAATATACTGTGCTGGAAGTTATTTTCTCATAACAGAATCATGACTTTGAAATCAGTGTGCATTGCTACCATCCTGCCAACATACTGAGAGGTAGCTTTGAGAGAGAGAAAAAAAAACCCACCCCAAACTACACTTTAATGGAACAAGCCCTGAGCAACCTGATCTGAGTTCAGCATTGACCTTATTTTGAATAGAAGGTTGGATGAGATGATTTCCTGAAGTCCTCAGAAGGCTACCTGTCTGAAATATACAGATATTTAAACACATGCTCAATAAGTCAATGTAGGGCATTTGATGAAAAATAATAAAAATTTGCATTGGATGAAATACGGCAAATCTGTTCCATTCCCTTTTTCTATAGATTTAAAGGAAGTAAATATATGACAGTTTGTTGTGACCACCTGACTGATATACTGAGAGACAGATTCAAGAGAAAAAAAAAAAACAAACAAACACCAAAACTAGACTGTAATGGAAAAGTCCTCAGCAACCTGGCCTGAGTTCAATGTTAACCTTACTTTGAGTAGGTTCGATGATAAGATTTCCTGAAGTTCCTGCAAAATGAATTATTCTCTGATTTTGTGATAGTGCACATTCTCCAAAAATCTGTTGTCATTGAAGGCATGGCAATTTAAAATTACCATGTAGAAAACATTAACATCTTTTGATTACCACGTAAGTTCAACTTGTGGCTTGTTTATCAGTAAAATACTTAATTTACATGTGTGCAAGGTATTAATTCAAATAGTTACTCAGTAGAATTTTTTTGTTGCATTAATTTATGTCTGATTTTATATTTAGAAGTACAGCTATATTTCAAATAACATTTGTTTCAGTTATTATTATATCGTGGCATGCTTAGGTTAGATAATAACTGACAGTAAGTGCACTACTTCACAGCTGGAGAAAGTTAAATGAATAGTAGAGATCTGCAAATCTCTTTCACAACTAGATTTGCATGGGAGCCACTGAAAATTTCGTATTGATTTTCTGCTGACCTGCTTGAAGGGAGACAGATTTAGTGTTCCCAGTAAGGACGTTTGCTTGTGGGTCTCTCAGATAGTACAATTTAGCACTAGAGCCACCACTATAGTCAGAATTGGCTATGGGTGGTTTTGGATGTGTCTGGAAATATGAGTTATCATCTTTTACTAGCTACTAACAAAGTATACTTTTCCTGGTGGTCACATCTGGAGATTTCACTTTAGAACAACTTGTATGAAAACTCCATTCTTTTGTGATTTTGGTTCACCTTTGACGGTTCACTTAATCACAAAATTTTCCACCATGGAGGTAGCTTTTGTAGTGATATGGAAAATTCTTTTTCAGACTTTAATTTGCTGAGTTTTGGCTTCAGCATTGAATCAGTCTTGTCTCATCCCTATGTAGGGCACATTTTTTCCAGTATGATAGTCTTCCTTATGACTCTGGACTATCTTGTCACAGACAAATTCATGTGGATTTAAAACCTGTGACCAGCTTGACCTCTAATATGATCTGACTGAAGTCAGGAAAGCTCTTTCACATGGTTCTTTTGACCCTACTGTTTGGCCCAGTCACTCCCAATTACTCCCTGTCATAAGCCACAAATACATCAAATGGAATTTGGTAATTTTTTTTTTTCTCCTGTAATTTTGTCTCTGAGAGGAATAAGCAGCCAGCTGCCAGCTTTTCTGATCTTCCATTCCAGGAGATCAAATTCAAAGGCTAGAAAAAGCCATCAAATTCTAAAAATTCTAGTTTTTCTTTTGATTTTCTGAAATGTATTTTAAAGTTTTCAATTCTGCTGGAAGAATAGAGTAACTTTCAAAAATCAGGTTTTAAAAAGTTTTCTATAGACCTTTGTTGAAAAATTATTTGGTAGAATCCTTTGTCTTATGGCTCTTGGATGGAACAACCTTTATACTCATGAAAGAAGTAGAAGCAGAAGATGGAAATAAGCTAGCTTGGACATCTAAGGGGAAACTGTAGTCATG